AGATTTGACATTCTTTCTGAATCGCAGTATAATTTGGCTAAGGTACACGCACTTTGTAGAAAGCCATTACATACAGCGTTTCAAAACTCTAAAGTCTAAACCATATCGGTGCTCTGAATCGCAGTACATAATGTATTATCAATTTGCGCATAACGTGAAGTCATAGTATACTGCGAATCAGACCAGAGCTGCTCTGAATAATAGTACAGAATGCCAATACGCTACCCGCATTACCCAAAATTCTGCAACGATATTAGATTTAATTCTCACCAACTGCAGGGAAATAGTCGCGCAATCTGGTGTAATAAATCTGGACAAAGTAACTGACCACTTACTGACTTATTGTGTTCTTACCATAACTTTCAACAAGTCTTCTAAAATTATTACACACCGGAGTTTTAACGAATTTAACTATTTACAATTTACATATCATCTACAATCTATTCCTTGGCGAAACATTTATGACATATCCACAATTGAAGGGAAGGTAACTTTTTTTGAAGAAAATATAACTACTTTACTCGACATACATGCGCCATTCAAATCATCTCGTATTATAAAATCATTCTCTCCGTGGTTAACTGATACTATTAAACAAATGATGCATTTACGTGACTCGGCTTTGTCTAAATTTAAAAGAACTAGGTTAGATCGGAATTGGGAATTTTACAAACAGCTACGTAATGAGACCAACAGTGCGATTCGACGTGAAAAGAAGGCGTACTTTGATCACCCATACAACACAACTAATTTTAAAATTCTGTGGCAGGATATACTAAAACTAACACATTCAAAACGTGAACAAACGGAAATACCGGAAGATCTGTCAAACCCTAACGACTTTAATGAACATTTTTTAAATGCTGTACCTAATCGCAAATTTAACAATCAGTTACAACTACAGTTTTACCTAAATAATACAAAACACCCAGCAAGTTCTGTTCTTATTTTCCAACCAACTACTGAAGACGAAGTGCTTAAGGTTATTAACGCTATGAAATCTACAGCCACTGGAGTAGATGGTATTAATTTAAGAATTATCAAACTTTGTGTACCGTATCTACTTAAGTTTATAGTACACATGATCAACTTTTGCTTAAGAAATTCGCTATTTCCGGCACAATGGAAACTTGCTTATATTATCACTGTAGCTAAGAAATTATCTCCATCTAATCTAAATGATTTTCGTCCAATCAGTATTCTACCAACTTTATCGAAAATCTTAGAAAAAGTAATTGAAAAACAAATTAGAACTCATTTGTCCTTAAATAAATTAATCCCGGATGTCCAATCTGGATTCAGATCTATGCACAGTTGTTGCACTGCTCTTTTGAAAATTGTAGATGATATAATTTCCGCACTGGACCAGGGGAAAGCAACTATTCTTGTTTTGCTAGATCTCTCTAAAGCATTTGATACGTTAGATCACGCCATGCTTCTAGCTATTTTACATTACGTACGTTTCAGTCCGGGAGCCATAGCCTTGATTGACAGTTATCTTTCCAACAGGAAACAAGCAGTTAAAATCTCAGGTAAAATATCGACTTTTAAAAATGTCACCCGGGGAGTACCACAAGGGTCCATTCTTGGACCATTATTGTTTCTTATTTACACATGCACCATAGTAAATTGTCTTCAATATACCACATTACATTCTTATGCTGATGATACGCAGATCTACTATTCATTTCCAGCTGCAGATGTAGGTAACGCTTGTAAACGCATAAACGCAGACCTAGATGCTTTGCAAAACACATTTCAATCTCACTCTCTACATTTAAATTCAAGCAAATCTATTGCAATATTGTTCAGCGGCGCAAATCAGCGGGAAATGCTAATGTCTCAAATCAATATTAATATTAGGAATGAAGCGATTACTTTTAAAGATGTTGTAACTAATTTAGGTCTTAATCTTGATAATAAATTGCGTTTTAAAAACCATATTTCTATTTGTCTCCAAAAAGCCTACGGCAATCTTAAAAAGATTTACTCTATTAGACACTCTTTAAATACAAACATAAAAACTCTTCTTTGTGAATCTCTAGTCCTTTCTAAGTTGAATTACTGTGATATACTTTATAATACTTGTCTAGATACTAATGATGAACGGCGCATTCAAAAGTTGCAGAATGGTTGTATGCGATTAATTTTCGGCATAAGGAAATATGATAGAATCACGTATAAATTGAAATATTTAAATTGGCTCAATATGAAAAATAGGCGACTGCATCATAGTCTTGTGCTTTACCATTCTATCATCCTAAATAAGACACCGGCGTACCTCCATGATAAAATAACCTATAGAACCGACGTACATAATTTAAATTTGAGATTTAGGGGTTTAGTAAGTCCGCCACTCCATCAAACAGCTTTATTTCAAAGATGCTTTAGTTACAACATCTACAAGAGTTATAACCCACTCCCTCTAAATCTCAAATCACTTTCTTTAAAACAGTTTAAGAGGAACTGCAAGATGTTCATACAACAAAAGCAAGCACAGTAGCCAGGTGATGTTGCAATTGTTATCTGTAGTTCAAATGTGTGTTTTCTATTTTTTTTTCTCTTCGTCTTTTCTTAAGATCATCAGTAGTATAGTTACTTTCTTTTTCTCTCCGTAAGTAGGGAGTATAGTTACGTTGTTTTATTTTTTTTTTTTATTTTTTTTTAATGGTATCATCATTTAAACTTTCAATTTTGGGTTGAGTGGAAGAGCAGGGAGTAATAATTTTTATTACAATCTGAACTCCGCCCTTTGAGTAGTGAGTAGTTGGTAATAAAAACAAACTTTTTTTTTCGTGTAAGGTGTAGCTCAATAAAGGCATTATTATTATTATTATTATTATTATTAAGTTATAGACTACAAACCAATTTCGACAAAAAATTCAAAGGGCTGTAACTTTTGAACTAGTAGCCCAATCTTGGAACTGTTTGAAATTATGGATTCTACAGGCCACATTCTATAAGAAAATTTTTTTTCCAGGTCAACCTGAGACAATTTTTTTCGGGCCTCAAAAAAAGGCAGTGAATAACCTTCCTTTTTTACCAAAAATCGACTACACCAAAATTTCTCGGGAAAACACTTTTTCTTATTAATTTGGGCGCGTAGAATCCAAATCAATTCGTACTTTTTCGATCAGACTTCTCAATCAAAAGTTATAGACTAGAAACCAATTTCGAAAAAAAAAATTCAAAGGGCTGTAACTTTTGAACTAGTAGCCCAATATTGGAACTGTTTGAAATTATGGATTCTACAGGCAACATTCTATAAGAAATTTTTTTTCCGGGTCGAACTGAGACAAATTTTTTTTCGGGGTTCAAAAAACCAAAAATCGACTGCACCAACATTTCTCGGGAAAAAAACGGACTGGAAGGGGGGGGGGGGGGCGATTGCCACCTAGCCTGTAGATCATAATGGCCCGTTGAAATTTATAAGTATGTGCTGTATTTAGTTCTCACCTCACCTCAAGAGCTAACCCCCTCCCCCCCGCTCCGCCACCTTCATTACTACACTAATACTTTAATGGCCTGTAACCTATGCAATTCCACCTGGCCCGCACTTACCCAGTCCGTCCCTGGGAGAGATCTTCAAGGGTGAGGTATTTGCTCATACTTGATGAAATCTCTAGAGATAAAACCCTCAGTACTGAGAGGATAACGAAAACAGTTTGTCTTACAAAAGGGTTTATGACGATAATCCTCCCTTCATCGACTGGAAGGATAATTTCAATAAGGTAAAGGGTAATGGAATCGTGTGTTAGACAGATGGTTCAAAAACTACGGAGGAGCCTGGCTGTGAAGTCTACGGAAGCGATGGACGGGGCCGCTGAATCTCTGTAAGCCTAGGACCAAAACCAACCGTGCTCCAAGCTCCAAGCCTACATATATGTAATCCTGAGGGCAGCTGCTCACCTATTAAAAGCGTACCTTACCATCAGGAAGATATTTATAGTTACAGATAGCAGACGAGCGATTAAGCATTAAGACTCGTATGTAGTAGATTCAGAACTAGTCCTGGAATACAGACAAGTGCTCAGCGCACTAGGCAGATGTAACAGTCACACTAGTGTGGATACCGGGGTCCGCGAGTTATGCTAACTCCTGTAGCTACAAATATTACTCAATCACACCCGTTTTTGTAAGAGTATTTTTTCTACAATATTGAATGTCTACTAAATACTATATCCAAGAATCTGACTGCAAATTATCCGAACATGATTTCTCGGGGTTCATATTTTTTGGGTAAGCTTGTTTTTGTAAATTAAAAATAAAAATGAATTTACTAACGGATTTTGCAGAAAAAGTCCTCAAAATAAAAAAAACCCCCCGATGCTTGAAAGTTGAAATTTAACGCGCAAAGAATATAATAAAGCAAGGTTACCCCTCATTTAACATACACCAAAAAAGATTTACAGCGTCGGTATTATGCCAAGCAACGTCGATCGACAGCCCTCTTAAATATTCCGCTATACTGCTAAAAATTGAATATTATGTGTAAGAAATTGTCGGCGGAAAAATATTTATATTTTGTTCGCCTCTCGCGAAGGAAGGCGGAAAAAATGCCGGCTACCCCTATACGCTGAATTATAATGTAATGATGAGGGAGCCTATGCGTGACCAGATTACCATATTATCGCGAACATCCCCGGAAAAGCCAACCCATTACTATCATATTTGCAAGCACTTAGTGTTGGAATTCTGTCTGTGTTGATTAACATGTCTGTTAAGGTACTTTAACGTGATGCATGTGAAATTTTCTGTACGTTCTACGTTTCAGGGAGCATTTTTATCGCGATACTTCGCCATCTAGGCTTCTAACGAAATGCTATGGAACTAGGACGTGCACGGTTTTTCTTATGCGTACAGTAACGATTAAAACTAGTCACGGAAATACATTTCCGACGCATAAAAACGTGTACAGATTCTACCAAAAGTTCTGAAATTCACCAATTTAAGTGATCTTTGTAACGGGAGCCCAGTGTAGAACCTAGGATTTTCGGTCCTGAAATTTAATGTAATCGTTTTCTACGTGAAGATCATAGTCAATGCAGATTAAGCACAAGATACGATGCTGACAAAGGCCGATCTGGACTTACGCTTTTGGGGCCCGTCACTGGCGCATCTTCTAGAATGATCTGTCTTATCGGACCAGTGCCACAGAACAGTCAACAACTGAATTCACTGAAATGATACGTTTAATAAATATAATTACCGAAGCAGCGAACGTCACCTGTGGAGAGACTGGTGAAACTAGTAAAGCTGTAAAGACTGCCTTTAATCGCCTTCACACAACAGAGAACTTAATAGGATACTTACAGTATATTTTAATAAGAACTTTCCGCTAGGATGTGCCGTCGAAATTTCGTCATTTTGCTGTACACAGAACAGAGGCTAACATGCGACTCTTTTCGTAAATATGTCCTTAGAAATTGCTTGCGATTAATTGCATCACATCGCAACCTGTTAAAAAAATTGCATCAAATTTGTTTGCGATTAATCGCATCGCCTGGAAAATACCTCATCGCCCATTGCGCTATAGCGTCTTGTCAGATCGTAGCCTAACATTCTGGGGGGTGGTGCTTCAGTTTCAGGTTTGGCATTTTCTTGGGGGGATGGCATCTCTCCGCCACCTTAAATGGCGGCGTTAGTGGACCTCCCTTCTCACCGCTGTCATTTTCTTCCTTTCCTTTAGTCAGAAAATTGATCGCTTGTAACCGTCGCGATGGTTTGGCTTGCTATAGTTAGATTGGGGAGTACCCCGTTGGACTTCGAAGACATTGAAAGGCAAGACCGGACAAGACGTACTAAATTAAGCATGTGGTTGAATCTTATTGTGCAACTTTGCATTTTCGTTAAGTCGCCTAATTTTTTGGAATATAATTTTTTTTAATCAGATAGGATACGGATTCTAAAAATCCTTAAATTTCTAGAATATTCTAAGAGAATTTGAAAAAAAATCAAACACCGTCCTTAGATCCTAACAAAACTACAGCAGTTCTAAATACTCCATACACGGTGTTTACGGGCTTGTGATTTAAATTTTATTTTATCTTTTTTTATTTATGTGGCACAAGAAAGTAAAACAATTTGCTATAGCTATCACAGATACCGCCTGCACACCTGCCCATGCGCGTTTTGCCCAAAAGCTTTTCAGCTTTTTTGCTTATATCTAAATGTTACCAAATTTGGTCCCAATCGGTTCAGCCGTTTAGTTGGAAATGAGACCGACAGACCGCCATCAACGAGATTTTGTCTGATTCGGATTCCTGGTACTTCAAAACGTTTGATTGAAAAGGTGGTGATCATCTTTTAATATCTTACTAACGTGCGGGTGGTAAAAATAAAGATTATTGTTGTGCCACCACAGATAATTAATAATAAACGTAATTTTACAGCAGTTGTTCAAAGTGTTGAACACAAAGTCTCGATCAACATTACTTATAGTAGTAGACGGCCGGTTGTTGATTTATTATTCTACTTCTATTAAGGTGTTTTACTGCGAATCGCCTTCTTTTAATGTGTTTAATCACCTCTTAAAAATAAAATGACAAGACCTTAAACACCCTGTAAAAGATTATCAATAAGTATTTTAAAGTTCTAAATTTCTAATGGTTCTGAATGTTTTCGAATTGTGCCGATTCTGAAGGTTCTAAAGATTTTATATATAATATTCTAACAAACAGTTCTATGAATGTAGTATGGTTTTTCTAAGCTGAAGACTCTGAAACGATTCCAATGATCATCACCGTGACAGAATTCAGCAAGTACCCATGCTTACGTTTCGTGTTCGGTATCAGGAAATATAACAGAATTTCGCACACCTTACCTCGACTTGGTTGGCACATGGCACATGGGTTTAGCTTCCATCCCGATGCACAATTTAGCAATGTTTCAACGTTCTTTTTCATTTAACATCTGCAAATTCTGTAATAATTCGGTTTACAGACAGTTACTGCATCTGTCCGAAGAGGCCTTTAAACGGAAAATTAAAAAATTATTAATCAAAGAGCGAAATTTAACATAACAATTTTTGTTTTGTTTTTTCCTTTGTTGGTAGGTAGTTACTTAGTAGATGTGTGATTGTTTACAATCAAAATCGAACTCTGCTAATTGTTTTATTTAGTAGAATCTACGTGTAGATATATGCTTTATGTTTCTAGGGGTATAGGGGGAAGAACAGATAAAGTATCTCAAAAACTTCAAGAGATAAAGAAAAAACTTGATCAGTAACGAAGCCTTTGGGGACCTAAGTAGCCCCTTCCGTATTTACATCATATTTAGGAACACCCTGTATATCCAATACGTTACGCTTACGAAACGGAGCTGATTAATAACACAAGTTGCGTTTGCTCTACTCTTGCTTGCTATTTAATACAAATACAAAAAGACAATTCCAATCGCAAGGGCTTTATTTATAACCAATTTGAAGAAGGCAAATCAGTTAGGTATACGATCACATAATTTAAGTGATATTTAAAACATAACCAAATAATTAAGCCGCCAAATCGTCGCCTGAAAACTCAGCCAAATGGGTTTGCATATAATTCCAGACATTATCATGAGTACCGAATATGATACGATAAGACCTGACGTTAGCACTTTTCACTATTACCCGCAACTCCTTATTTATAAAAACATAATGAGTTTTGCTTCTTACTTCTTCTTCGGTACAGCAAACGCATGCGATTATTAGCAAATATAATCCGCCACGAGGTACGGTAAATGAGGTAATTGCCGAATCGAGATCTTCTTCGCTTTCGAAATTGGGCTCTACCGTATCATCGTCCACTTGGAGATGCAGCAGAAATACCTGCTCCTCAGATGGCTGATTCAGAAATATTTCCGTAATTTTGGAACTGAAGCATTGCATGTCAATATGGCGGTAACAAATTGAAAAAGAATACTTACACCATGTTATCCAGTAAAAGGCGCAACACTGTAAATGTCACTAAGTACACAAACGCAATCGTGTTCGCACAAAACGCAATTGAACAAATTCTTTAGCTTTATTAGTTGCACTATATGGTGGATTGACTTGATATAAGGCGCCCGTCTGGTATATGCAGGAGAGGGGGATAAATTGAAAAAGAATATGTCACGAGTTCATGACTACCTAAAATTAAAAGGTTCGCAGTGTTCTGTTCACTATCTATAACATGAAACAGGAGTAGAATAATTCTAACTTAATGTTTTAATTTGAGCCGGTAATAAACAAGTATTATTTCTCCCTTCCCCCGTGAAAATTAGGTGACTCATATTGATCAAAGAATAAAACAAATAACAATTTTTTGAATAGTCTTGTAAAACTTAATACTTACAACATTATGGAATATTATGCGATGTATGCGGAAAAATAGTCCAAATATTAATTAACGTCCATTATCTTTAAACAAATAAGGAATCAAAATGCAATTGACCATTTTTTTTAATAAAGGCATATCGTAGCTTTCTTCGGATCAGTAGGTAATAATTCCATCAGAAAGTAGCCAGACATGGATCTTGTAAAATAGGGGTTGGAGGGAAGGTTAAAGTTAATTACGTACAATGATTTACAAAATGATAGCGATATCCACTACTGACATTCCCAGGGGCGGACTGGGTAACTGCGGGCCAGGTGGAATTGCATAGGTTACGGGCCATTAAAGTATTAGTGTAGTAATGATTTTGGGGGGGTTAGCTCTGAGGTGCGCCACAAAAACATTTTAGTACAAGTACTCCTTTCTCCAAAATAAATTACCATACAGTTTTTTTTAAATTGCAGCTGATAATTAAAAGTAACAAAATATACAATCCACACGAGGTGCGTCGCCTATCATTGTATTTCAGCACTTTCATGCTACGACAAAAAATGAAATTCATTGTAAAACACTTCAATTAATACATAATTTTTTAACAACCTAACATCAACCCCAATTAGAGAAACGTGTTAATAATTTAGTAATAGTGCAAGAAACTAAATACATCACATACTTATAAATTTCCAACGGGCCATTATGATCTACAGGCCAGGTGGCAATCGCC